AGAGCAACCTTGTTCTTTCTTCTCAAACAAAAGGCAAAACACATGGCTTCCACAATGAGAATGAGTATATATAGATTTAGGTTGTACCAATACTTGGGCTAAGACACAAGACATTGGGTCCTCCTATATAAGTGAATTTGGATCAATGCAACATTAGTACAATTAAGTTGTTATTAGCAGCCCACGTTGTTTTTGGGTTGTGCATATGAATTAATTTGTTGATAAATATTTCACTCATCGCTTGAAGCCTATGAAATATAATCCGAAACCGTTTAACATCATCGTCCAAAATTTATTGGGTATTAAAACCTAACAGTTAGGATTTTATTGTGTTCAATAGTAATTTCAAATTTAACGACTTTGATGAATTTTTTTATACCATTTTGTGATGTGAGATGTTGGAAAGAAAATTTGTACCATATGCTTTATTATTATTTTTTTAACTTCATGATTGTTCGTCAATTTATCTAATTATTAATTTTCTTTTTCATTTAATCAAGTTATCTAATTGTTATTATTGTTATTCTTATTATTATTATTATTATTATTATTTGTGCATTAACATTTTATTTCATTAATTGGGCATGAAATGATTGATATTCAGTGTCAATTAGATAATTGTGTTTTAGATCGATTATTTTTAGTGGTTCATTTACGTTACTTTGTGTTGTTTTGACTGATCTACTTGTGGAACTTTGATATCTCCTACGTTAAGGTACTGTTTGTGATGTCAGTTTTTAAAGAATCTGGCTTACGCTCACACTCTATTTTGATGTTATATTTTAGTGTTTGTTTGGTAGGAATTTTGGTAATTGAGTTTTTAATCGTTAGAGATAAAGTAGATTCTACTTGTAAGAGAAGAATTCAAAAATAACGATTAGAATAGTGAAATAACGATAAAAAAATTAATTTTATTTACCTTTTAAATTGTACCAAACAAGCTCTTATGTGTAGGATATTAAAGAAAAAAAGGGTTGTAGATTGGTCAGTTTTATCTACAAATGCTGTTCTTTTTAACGTCTTTCATTCAACATAGAGTAATGCGAGTTGTCATTCAACATAGACTAATGCCAATTGGCACAGCTATAGGCATACTCTAAAGTCTCATCTCTATATTTACATTTCACTGTCAGGTGTGATTTGACAAATTTTTTCCAACGCGTAAAGGATTAAACATTTAGCAACATATACTTAAATTTGATGTCGTTAATGCTTAACACAAATAATTTTTTTATATTTATACTATTATGTAGTCAACTACATTATGGCACGTGCGTTGTGTCTAGCTAGTAATTGGAAAGAAATCTCATTAAGATGGAAAATATAATGGCACATTTACGAATAATTTATTATTATTATTATTTTAATTTCTTGCATTTGAATCCTCAAACTTCACCTCCACGATAAAGAGTTGTTTTTGAATTGTATCCACACAAAACATCGTTAATTTTATGTGATTCATAAAATTTTCTTACTTTCTAACCACAAATTCTTTAGAATATTTATTTTTTATTAAAAAAAAAAAAAATCTTCCAAACAAGCTCTAAATAACTTAAATGGTGTCAATTTTATGTTATTCATAACATTTCCTTACTTTCTAACCACAAATTCTTTAAAAAAATTATTTTTTACTCCAAAAAAAAAATAAATCCTCGGATTCCATCTCAATTGATCATAACTTTATTCCTATTTTAGTCGTTGCGATGCGTGCAAGGCATTCTTGAATACGAGTAATTAATTAATCCTATCAGAAAACAAAAATTAAATGATCGGAGCGTGTAATCAATATTTTAGGAATCCACTAGAAAAGTCAAATTGTTTCTTGTAATAACATTTAGTCCTTCTTTATCTCTCTTTAAAACAAACTTTCTAAGTCCCTATTTGATGCTTGTTATTGTGTAAAAATGATGTCTTGAATAGTGATTTTTTAGATAATGTGATTAAAAAGTGAGATTTTTTTTTTTGAATTTGTATGCAAATTAATTTTTTTGTGTAAATATGTGGTTGAAAATGAGTGTGAGAAATAAATTCTTTTGTTTTAAAGGAAATCAAATAGAGACCAACTTTCACTCATTTTTAACCATATATTCATATAATAAAATATTTTGCACATAAATTTAATGCGAGTTCATAGTTTCTAATCACACGTTCTTTTAAAAATCACTGTTTAAGATATTATTTCTTCTCAGTAATGATCATCAAATAGGGACTTAATTCTGTCACTGCAACTAACCAAGATTTTTGAGATTCACATGGGGAAATCAATTCAATTTGTTGGATTGGATGACCCATGACTCTGCCGATGAAAGTTCGACCAAGCTCGGATCGAGCCTTATTTTCAAGAGACTGCTCGAGCCCATGTTGCAGGTCAAAAATGACCTGTGTCATAGGCCCTGTAGGCAGCTGTCAACTGCTCTCTCTCTCTCTCTCTCTCTCTCTATATATATATATATATATATAGCGAGCCGAGTCATTTACATTTCTAGGTTTACATTCCTTTTATTTTCAGAATCACAAGCATTTATTGATTAATTTCTTTTTTTCACTTCAAGACCCAATTGTAAATATTTTATGCAGATTTTATAATTATGCATGTTGCTCAAAACCAATCTTGAGTTTCTTGACTTTTTACGCGGTAGGGACGAAACCTACAAAAAGTGATAGAAAATCATTTAGAAATTTTGAATTAAAAATCAAAGTTTTAGTAGAATTTAATAAAAAAATAATAATGAAATATGTGGTTGAAAAGTTATGTATTCGATAAAATATGTAATTAAAATTAATTATTGACTTTAATTTAAATTTAAATTTTAATTTTAAACCTTACCAAACAAGGACTTATAAAAAAAAAATCTGCTTAAATAGGTCTCAATTGCTTGTTCATTTTTATACGCTTCATTACTTTAAGACATTATTGTACTTGCTCTAGGGAAGGAATAAATAGTGTCGGTACACTTTCACACTGAAATTGACTAATTGGGCTCTGATTTGGAAAATTTATCAACTTTGTTTCAATTTGTACTTGCTTCATGTGCACATCAACTGATATTGATTTTTTTACCTTTGAAGAAAAAATGGATCCTAATTATGAGGGAAGAAGTAAAAAATAATTATTGAAATAATATAATAACGATCAAAAATTTAATTTTTTTGAAAGAAAAATTACTACCAAACGGAGCTAACAATATTTTGTTTTATCCCAAATGGGAAAACCTCAACCTAATACACAAGAAATTAATGCCAAAATATGCCCCTTTGGGACATAACTCAGTGGTGTAAAGGATAAAAATGAGGTTATTTTATGCTTTGCTGACAGTCGCAGTGTGGAGGTTCGATTCCTGAAAGATGAAATTAGACTCCGGCGCAGTGTACAGACAGTTCTTATTTCCTGGTCTGTTGAGAGCACATCCCGCGATTTACCTCCCTCATAAAGTTCTAGGGATGGGATAGTGGAGGCCCTCAAAATTAGGGTTCAACCTTTAATTAATGCCAAAATATAGGCATGGACTCCTACTCCTAGGGTCTAGATTAGTTTTCTTTTCTTTTTTTTCCTCCCTGCAAACACGGTGCCACGTGACAGTCATTAAGGTCAGAATAAATGCTAAAGAAAATTAAAAAAAAAAATTGAACTGGGGGAATTTTTATACAACTATGTTTATAAAATTGAGGACGAACAGTATGCAATTTTCGATATTTCAAACTTGTAACATGGCATCTGGACCTACAATCTAATCCAATCCAATCCAATTGGATTGTAAGATCAAGATCCCATATGGAATCCGCTTGTAAAGTCTAACTACCGACACCAACCCACAAACCACATGCTTTCACTTGTCATCGTCAACTAAACAACACATAATCTAACAAAATTAGGAACATTGAAATAATATCTACAAGTTGATCTTCACTATCTCATTTTGATTGCAAGTTCTAAAGTCTTTGTTAATAGTAAGCGACCCTCATATTTCCAAATTTTGTTTTCTAGCTTGATTCAATGCTTAAAAATTTGATGTATGTCATATTTTCAAGAAACACGCGACAAAATTGATTGAAATTACGATTTTAGTGAAAAGTCGCATGATAATTTGTCCTCAAATGATATAAACAAATAATGACCATAATAGAAGAAATCTTATTCGCACGATTTTACCATTTTAGTCCATAGCACGTGAACATAAAAGGTTGGGATACGATGTCACTAGGAGAGTTAATTTGACTCGTTGGCTCGAACAGCTCGTGGTTCAACCGGGGAAAAATTCGAGCCGACGGCTTGGCTAATGTGAGGCTTGGGTTGAGCCCCATTTTGAGAAGTATGCTTGAGTCCGAGCCGGCTCATTTAATTTTATTTTTTTAAAATCTGACAGTTGAAAAAGGGAGAAAAAAATGAAAAGTAAAGGATGAGGTAACTACCGTTGCCTTAACAGGCATCAGCAACAGTGTTACTGTTATCTTAAACAGGCAGCTATGTGTAACTACACGATGCTTACCTTATATGAATTTGAAATTTAAATTTGGTCGAAACGGATTTTTTTGCTAAATATAGGGTGTATTTTACATTTAATTTTTAATTATATCTATGTTGATTGAGTCGGTCCCAAACCTTTAAAAAAAAAAAGAAAAAAGAAGAAAAAAAAAAAAAGAGAGTGAGAGAGAGAAGGGTTGTAAGTGGTAACTTTTATTTAATTTTATAATTCGTATAAATTGTACAATTTTTTTAATTTGTTTTAAAATTGTTTAAAAAAATATTAGATTTGTCACGAAATAAAAAAAAGAAAAGAAAAAAAGAATCGGTTCGGCTCGGCTCAACTCAACCTCGCTTGGTTGGGTAAGTTCCTAGCTGCAATCTAAGATTGAGCCTAGATTTTTTAATGAACAAAGCTCGACACAATTCAAGTCCAAAAAAGCTCGACTCATTTTCGCTTGAGCCGAGCCCGAGTTTCAACTTTCAACTAGGCTCGACTGTCGCATGTATTCAAATGCTACAATTATGAGAGGTTGGATCCCCGGAGTACAAAAAATTAATGATACTTCCCTGTCAAGCACAAGCAAAACGCGTTCCATTCCGCTGCTTATAATATCTGTGTAGAGATGTTCTTGTACACATTATCTAAAAGTGAGAGCTTACATTTTCACTCTTCTTCTTTGTTCCAATTTTGAGAATTTGAGATCAAATTGTAAGGGAAAAAAATGGAGTTGTTTTACTATATGGTGTTTGGGGCTTTGGGGGCAGTGGTGGCAGCATTGGAGCTGAGCAAAAGTAACAAGGATAGGGTTAATACTTCTGCAGCTTTCAATTCCTTCAAGAATAATTACCTTCTCGTTTACTCACTCATGATGGGTATGTAAATAAAAAACCCCAGATCTGGGCCTTTCGAGTTTCTAATTTTCTTAATTTACATAGTTCTCTAGCATGGATTGATTTTAAGGAAGGGCGGCTTCGCTTTATTCAATTGTTCGTCTACAGTATGTGATCTGATCTGCTGAATGAGTGAATGATTATGGATTTGATGCACTGAGCGTGTGCTTTTGAGTTTTTTTGTATTCTTTTGTTGGATCTAGATCTCAGCGGGTTTGTATCTTTATTCTTTACCTAAGTTAATGTAGGACGATGCAGATGACTGAATTCGTGGACATTATGATTTGGTATTGAGAGACTAGTAAAGCTTCAACGTTTTAGTTAAATTGGGCCTAATTTGATTATTTTGTGTGTTTAATTTGAAGTTGAGTTTTCATCTATAGAATGTTCTCTGCTAATTGAAGCTAAGTTTTTCCAGCAATTGTGATGCGAGTCCTATATTGTTCTGAAGGTAGATCCAGCCTTGTTTTGCATAGAGCTGTCAATAGTCTCTATTTCAAAATGGATTGGATTTTGCTCGTAGGACTTCTTTATTCATGTCACTTGTTATTTTTAGTTATTCCATATATCATCTCTCGATACAGATTAGTTCAGTTATTTGAGTTACTATGCTTATAAATATAATATCTGCTTTCCTTTACTCTTGATTTTTTACCGTATTAGAAATATTTTGCAAATTACTGTCTAAAATTTTCTCACGTGGCAGAGAGATAACTTCGGCTTAATTTTTCCATCTTTCATACTTATTATTTTTCATTTACCCCTATTAAAGCTAGTATCCGGGGAAAATCAATCTTAAGTTGATGCAGTCTATATGCATACTTTATTTTACCTCTGGTGTCAACTGCATCTGACATCCAGTAATATGAAATCCTATTGTCGGTTGCTCTTTCTTATTTTTATACGGCTTCTGGTGATAGCTTTTTCAAATTGATTTGGTTTTAAGAAATATTTGAAAATAATAGTCTTTGCTTTTGCTGATGGTTGGTCTTTATGGCAACAGCTGGTGACTGGTTGCAGGGTCCTTATGTTTACTACCTTTACACAACTTATGGCTTCGGGAAGGGGGAAATTGGGCAGCTCTTTATCGCAGGATTTGGATCTTCCATGTTATTTGGAACCATAGTTGGATCTCTAGCAGATAAACAGTGAGATATCCTCTTGAAATCATGTTATTAAATTTTATACTGCTATGCTAAATTCGTGTTTGAGTTATATAATGAAATTTCAGGGGACGGAAGAGAGCATGTGTGACTTACTGCATCACGTATATACTGAGCTGCATCACTAAGCATTCTCCTCAGTATAAAGTTCTGATGGTAGGACGTGTTTTGGGTGGTATTGCCACATCTCTCCTGTTTTCAGCATTTGAATCGTGGCTCGTGGCAGAACATTTCAAGGTGAGGGAACTTAAATAATGGTGAAAGTTAATTTGTAGTCCAACTGTATTTATTACTACGTATATGTGATTCAGTAACGGTGAATTATGCAACCCCACAAAGTCAAATCTTATTTCATAATAAATTTGCTGAAAGAGATTTCAATCTGGATTTTATTTAGCCCTTGTTTGTTTTCCATTCTTTCCCCATTAAAATGAAAAATATGACCGTTATCCATTACATCAAGCCACAAAATTTGAATTTCAATCTCTTGTGTGGGGTCCATAACGGCTATATTTTTTATTCTCATTCTTACAAAAATGAGAAACAAACGCCCCTTTCTCTTGATCTTTGTAGTCATGACTCGTGTTCTCAAATCACAAATGAGATGCATGTAAGATGGATGAGTGTGTGGATTTTGTTTTACTCAAAATGACCTTCTCTATATGCAAATGATTGATATCTGTCCTTTATGACTCTTGACAGCTTCAAGATGTAATATTTAGTATTTTAATTGAAAGTCATTTCTTTTAGTATCTGAAACAAAAGCAAAGTTCATGGAACTACTCATGAACTGTGGAAACTACTTCATTAGTTGATTACTGATGGCAATTTTGTTTCGCTACATTTTTTTCTAGAGGGGTTTCGATCAGCAGTGGCTCTCATTAACTTTCTCTAAGGCTGTATTCCTTGGCAATGGTCTTGTTGCAATTCTCGCTGGGTTATTTGGAAATCTACTAGTTGATACCTTAAATCTTGGGCCTGTATCACCCTTTGATGCTGCTTCCATTTTTCTAGCTATTGGAATGGCTGTTATATTATCATCATGGACTGAGAACTATGGTGACCCTTCGGAGAACAAGGACTTGCTTACTCAGTTCAAGGGTGCTGCTGTAGCAATTGCTTCAGGTAGATTTCCAGATATAACTCTATACCATATAGTTTACTTTAAATTTTTAAGAGCTTTCGTGGAGTCATTACAGTCCATGGAGTCATATGTCATAGTTTTGGATCCCCGTGTACCCACCAATCACATCAAATAATACCAGAACAAAAAATATAAAAAATTAGATAAACCAATAATAGGATGCAATTTTCATCTCTAAATACTTTTGAGTGGGGGATCCAGCTCAGTATCTTTTTAAATTTTGTTCTGCTACCCAACTCTTTTGGTTCAATAAATGAAACTATTGATCTTTTCCCAATTTCATGGAGCTCAGTATAATGATTTATTTTGGACAGATGAGAAGATTGCTTTGCTGGGTGCAATACAGTCTCTATTTGAAGGTTCAATGTATACATTTGTATTTCTCTGGACACCCGCACTGAGTCCAAATGATGAAGATATTCCCCATGGTTTTATTTTTGCAACTTTCATGTTGGCTTCAATGTTGGGAAGCTCTATTGCATCTCGTCTATTGGCCAGCAACTCGACTAGAGTAGAGATCTACATGCAAATTGTTTTTGTTATTTCTTCTGCCTCCCTTCTGCTTCCCTTATTGACAAATGTATGTCCAGAAATACACTTGTTTGTTTTGTTTGACCATATCACTGGATTATGTCTAAGTGCTTATTACTTGTGGCAGTTCCTGGTAACTCCTTCAAAGGTGAAAGGAGGTGGCATCACTTTTGCAGGTTGTCTCCAACTTCTTGGCTTCTGTACTTTTGAGGCTTGTGTAGGGATTTTCTGGCCATCCATTATGAAGATGAGATCCCAATACATCCCTGAAGAAGCTCGAAGCACCATCATGAACTTCTTCCGCATCCCTTTAAACATCTTTGTTTGCATCGTTCTATATAACGTACGTTACCTGATCTCTTTATGCTATATGGCTTCAGCTATATATTTTATCCCATGTTTGCATGAATAGCTCTAGAGACTTCAACTAGTGGCAGTAAGAACTTCCTTTGTACAGTTTTTTCTTGAATTCTTATTTTTCATTTTTGGATCCTTTATCTTAGAAAAATCCAGACATTTGGGTCTCATTAAAATCAGAATCTCCAGGATCTGCCTCATCTGATCCATAATGTGATTAAGGTTCTGGCATTATGAACATGCTATTGCTAGTTGTTAATTTTTTTGGATTTTGTTTGAAGGTAAATGCATTCCCCATCACGATCATGTTTGGAATGTGTTCGATCTTCCTCTTTGTCGCGTCCATTTTACAGAGACGGCTTGCAGCAATTGGAGATAAGTCAAGTGAGTATTTTGTCGTTGGATGAACTTTATTTAATGCAATGCTAACCATTTTTTCATTGTACCGTTCGCAATTGGCATCTGAGAACTAAATTCTATTTTCTTAATGTTGTTTCTTTCATTCATTTATTTATTTATTTTTGGGACAGAGACAGAAGATTGGGCCATGATGAAGGAAAGAGATGCTGAGGCTGAGCCATTGAATGTTCCTTAATCTCAGCGGTTTGGACTACAAAACCAATTTTGGAGGTCCTTAACGACCGTTTTTTATACCCATAATCTGCCATCTCAATTGCATATAGTCTCAGATAAATTCAATTTGATAGCGTTCAAAAAAATTGCAAAAAAGTTTGTCGGCCATGGAGCAATGAAGAAATAGGCTCGAATTTTTATTGTCTGTGATTATGTAAGATGGAAACATATTAGCATCTTATGTGCAGGCCTTTGCTCTTAGGATTATCAGCGTTCTTTGTAATTTTGATACTACTTCATTTCTTTAATCTATGGATTGCTTGCCTCAAGTATCCGTAGTACCCTACTTTTGTTTTCGACATTTTTATCATAATAGTGAAATGTCATCATACATTTTTCAGTTCCTAACTTTTGTAATCACTTTTAAACTTGATGCTGTGTTTAAGTTATCACGAGGCATCCTTTAATGGATGGACGGCTAAATCTGGTTAGGACTGTCAGTATTTGATACATGTGTTCGGCTAGTCATTTGCTGTGTTATACTTTTTATACATTTTAAACATACGACTATTGTTTTTTTTGTTCTGTAATATAATTTATTTTTTGACACTCGTATAGAATATCATGGATTGTATTTGGACTAGTGTTCTACATGACATGTTTGTTCTCGATTAAAATGTTGAAAAATAAAATATAATGGGGTAATAGTACAAAACTTCCTATCTTTCGATGTTTTTGTGAAAAATGTCCTTACCTTTTATTTTTTGATGGGTTATATCCTCACATTTACCTTTTTTTTTTGCGCAAAACATTTTTCTGTCAACACTTTGTTAAAATGCTCCGTTAAATCAAAGGGTAATTAGCACAAAAAGTTTCTACCTGTTCATATTATTGTACAAAACGTTCATACTTTTCATTTTTTGACATAATTAGCACAAAGGGTAATTAGTACAAAACATCTCTATCTTTCGATGTTTTTGTGAAAAATGTCCCTACCTTTCATTTTTTGACGGATTATGCCCTCACATTTACTTTTTTTTTTTTTTTTGCGCAAAATGTCCTTCAGTCAACTCTTCGTTAAAATGCTCCGTAAAATCAAAATGTAATTAGAACAAAAGGTTCTTACCTCTCAATGTTATCGTGCAAAACGTCCATACCTTTCATTTTTTAGCATAATTAGCACAAAAGGTAGGGCCCTTTCAATGTTATTATGCAAAACGTCCTACCTTTCATTTTTAGAATTTTCACCCCTACATTTCGCATTTCATTGCGCTAAAGGTCATTTTCATCCATTTTTTTAAAAATAAAATGACGATTTTACCCTCATATTGAAATAAAACAAAAAGAAAAAAAAATTAATTAAATGCAATCATAGTCCTAAATCTTTCAAAACATTACAGATAAATCCTAAATTCTCCACTACCGCAACTTTCACAACCCCACCAAGCCATCACCAATAGATCCATATAGCACCACCTTTCGGCCACAACACCTATCGGACTCCACCACCACCAACCTCGCTTCACTCTCTCCAATATCCTTCTCCATAGTGTTGGTCACCAATCTGTCCGAAACAACCACATTTACGGTGGTAGAGTCCGGTGGGCATAGTGGCCGAAAAGGTGGTGTTATGTGGATTTATAGTTGTCAGCTTGATAGATTGTGAAAGTGGTGGTGGTTTAGAATTTATGATTTCTTTGTAATTTTTAAAAAATTTAAGGGCTATGGTTGCAGTGGGTAATTCATCTTTTCTTTTTGTTTTATTTGAATAGGAGGGAAAAATTGTCATTTTATTAAAAAATGGATGAGAATGACCTTTTTCGCAATGAAAGGTGAAAGGTAGGGGTGAAAATGTTAAAAAATGAAAGGTAGGGACCTTTTGTGCCAATTATGCCAAAAAATAAAAGGTATGGATGTTTTGCACAATAATATTGAAAGATATGAACATTTTGTGTTAATTACCTTTTAATTTAACGAAGTATTTTAACTGAAAGTTGATAGAAGGACATTTTGCGCAAAAAAAATGTAAAGGTGAGGGCGTAATCCGCCAAAAAAAAAAAAGGTAGGGACGTCTTCCACAAAAACATCGAAAGGTAGGGACGTTTTGTGCTAATTACCCTTAGCATAAAATGTCCATACCTTTTAATGTTATTGTGCAAAACGTTCATACCTTTTATTATTTTTTTTTTTTATCATTTTCATTCCTCCCTTTCACATTTCATTGCGCAAAGGTCATTTTCATTCATTTTTTTCAATAAAATGGTGATTTTACCCTCCTATTCAAATAAAACAAAAAGAAAAGAAAAATAAATAATTAATTGCAATCATAATCTTAAATCTTTCAAAACATTACAGATAAATCATAAATTCTCCACTATCGTCACTTTCACAACCCCATCAAGCCACCACCTATAGATCCATATAACATCATCTTTCAGCCACAACATCTATTGGACTCCGCCACCACCAGCCTCGTCTCACTCTCCCCAATATCCTCCTCTATAGTATTGATCACCAATCTGTCCGAAACAACCACATTTACGGTGGTGGAGTCCGATGGCATGGTAGCCGAAAGGTGGTATTATGTGAATTTATAGTTGGCAGCTTGATAAGTTTTGAAAGTGGTGGTGGTTGATAATTTATAATTTCTTTGTGATTTTTTAAAAATTTAAGTACTATGATTACAGTTGGTAATTTATCTTTTCTTTTTGTTTTATTTGAATATGAAGATAAAATCGTTATTTTATTGAAAAAATGGATGAAAATGACATTTTGCGCAATGAAAGATGAAAGGTAGGGATGAAAATGCTAAAAAATGAAAGGTATAGACGTTTTGCACAATAACATTGAAAGGTAGGGACCTTTTGTGCTATTTATGCCAAAAAATAAAAGGTATGAACATTTTGTACAATAATAATGAAAGGTAAGGATTTTTTGTGCTAATCACCCTTTGATTTAATGGAGCATTTTAACGGGGAGTTAACAGAAGAAAGTTTTGCACAAAAAAAAAAAAGATAAATGTGAAGGTGTAATCCGCAAAAAAGAAATGTATGGACATTTTTCACAAAAAACATAGAAAGGTAGGGACGTTTTGTGCTAATTATCAAATATAATGTATAAAATTAAATTTGTAAAGAATTTAAATTGATGAATGTTGACATGTTCGTGTTTTATTTTTAAATAAATGGATAATTGTAAAAGAAGTTCCAAATCTTTCAAACATTCGCAGAGTTTTCTCAAATTTTTGGTGTGTTGTATGCGTCACCTTTTACCTTTTCAAACGTTGCCTATGACACTCTTTCGGATGATTTTCATCCAAAGTTTTGTCAGTTGATCAAAAAAATGATTTTAACCACATTTTAACAATTTTTAAAAGGGTAGAATGATGACTTTACATTAAAAGCAAAAATAAAATTGATCTCTTTCTTCCCCATACCACCCAAAATCCACCCCCCACCCCATTTGCCATTTGATTGGAGGATGGGGTGTTTCATTTGTGTTTTCACTAAGGAAGAAACAAAATATAAAGAGAAACAGGAAATCTTCTCTCCCCCCAAACCTATCTTTTGTTTTGCAGTAATTTCTGCTTTAGTAGAAATAACTTTCAAATGAAATGAAGTATTTATCTAGTAAACTGGGACGCCCACGAGATATAAGAAACCACATCAGAAATAGAAGAATGCACGAAAAATATTAAAAATTAAAATTAGAAGTTCACCTTAAAAAATATAAAATGATAAACCGTTACCAAAAAAAATAAAAAAAGGGAACATCCCGGACTTAAAATTCTCGAATTTCAGACAAAAAAAAATGCGTTAATTATGAATACTATTACTCTTTTTTTTTTTTTTTTAAAAGGTGTCCTCACCGCAAAATATATGCAAACAAAATAGATCAAAAATGATTTGTGTACTTCGATTAGCAAGCCGAGAAGTAATTCAGGAAAGTACACAGCTTTCAGTTGTAATAACTAAAATCAGCTTGAGAAAAAGCTAGGAAGAGGGTGAAATCAAACGGCAAATGAGGTGGGGTGTATTTGGTGTGGGTTAGGGAATAGGAGGACCAATTTTATTTTTTGATTTTTTATTTTAATGTAAAGAATCATTCTGCTCCTTTAAAAATTATTAAAATGTGGTCAAAATCATATTTTTGATCAACTAACGAAATTTTGGATGAAAACCGTCCAAAAGGGCCTCACGTGCAATATTTGGAAAGATTAGAGGTGACGATTGCAACAAATCAAAGATTTGAAAAAAATCTACGATATTTCAGAAATTTAAAACTTCTGCTACAATTATCCCTTAAAGAAATTCACGTGTCCTGGTCTTTGTTTCGTGGGTCCTCAAGTGTATGGCCTAAACAAGCAATAAAAAGAAAAAGTAATGACATAAATTTGATAAAATAGCAAATTAGCAATATCGAATGAATTTAATATGGGAATTTGATTACGGTATTTATAGCAAATTTGGTTGTGTAAAAAAAGTTGATATTCATCATGTATAATGTTGGTGCCCGGAACAAGTAACAGTAGCAAAAATTCATTTGTAATTATCTTATATAAAATTTCCTGTTTGGTCTCCATCTATTTAAAATTCAATTTTTTTAAATTTATTTTCAATCGTACATTTTATGGAACTCACAATATCACACCTTTCATTAATTTTAATCAAAATCTACTAAAAATTTGACTTTTAAGCTAAACAAAACATATAATTAGGGTTAGTGAGCTGTGCAAGTTACACCTCATCCTTTGCCTTGGTAGTGGATAGTAACATACTAACAAACCTATGTTTCCTTGTAAACTACTCTCTCCGTCTCATTTGCATATACTTGTTTTGTTTTTTCCACGAATTAAAATGTTACTGAGAAGCATTTTTTGTCAAAAAATTTCTTAATCTGCCATTATTTATATTTGTACAATTACAATATTAAGTGGAAAAATTTGATTATAACTAGGCAAATTAAATAAGGATATATTAGTAAATGAACAAAGTAAAATATTCTCAATGAAAAAAACATGATTATGTAATTGGGACAAGAAAATAAGAGAAGTAAGTTTATATAAATTAAATGGGACGGAGGAAGTATTATGTTAGGATTAATTTATGTTGACAAAAGAAAAATGACAGAGAGATTGATAGATGTGTATATGGTAGTAGATGAGAGGATGAAAAAGTTGAATGTGTTTTAAACTTGAATAATTTGATTTTTACTCTAAAAAATGTACCGAATTGTTTACCCCTTTCACATGCATGTGAGACCCGTGTCAATAAAAAAAATCCCAAATATGATTCCTACCCTTTATTTTGAGTAGTCGATAAGGAATTAGATAAAAAAAAAAAAAAAAATTAGGTACATGTAGCATGATCTTTTAAACTTTCCAATAATAAGATGCTATGTGATATTTGGCAATGTTACGTGTACATAATCGTTTACACATGACTTTACATTGCCCTCACATGGAAGAGGGCCCACACTAAGGCCGTGTGTACACCTTGAGATGTAGCCCTAGCATTATTTATGTGATATTATGTCAGGAAATATGTCAATCATTATAGAGTTATGCTACATATATGTTATAGTATTCATAATGTACAAGTGATAACATGATTGAAGAGTTGAAAAACAATCTTTTCAACCCTCCAATTACGAAATTTCATATTTACATTATGAACACTTTTATAAATATTATAATATACATGTAGAATTATCCATTATTATATCACTATAGTATAATTCATTATGTTACAGCTGTCGAATTGCTTTAATCTTTATTACACACATGTTACTATACAATTTGACCAAGGTAAAACTGTGCAACAATTATTATGCCAACATCAGTATTACATAAATAAATAAATAAATAAATAAATTTATCCTTTTCCGAAAGTTTATAATAATGGTCCCTTAGTCACCAGTACACACACACACACACATATTTATCATAAAAGAAAAAGAAAAGTTGCACGAGCGAGACGGGGCGGTTTGTCAATTGATATTACTGTCTCTGTCAATATTTCTTTACTGAAAAAAAGACATAAATAAGAATCTGTACAAGGCCTTGTCTTCTCATAAAGAATCAGTAGACTGTACAATAATTTATCAGTTAATGTTCAGACCAATTAAACATAGGAATGAAGCCTTCAATAACATAAATCTTCACTAGAAAGAGAAGCAAAAATAAATAAATAAAAGATGAACCTTTTGATTTTCTGTTGGAGGAAAAAGATTCTGTTATCTTTCAAAAAAGTTTCAAAGAATTTATCTACATTTCCATTTGAATCCATTGTAGCGCTTGACTGGATTAAAATAATCCATTTTTGCCTATGAAATTATAAGAAATATTTATATACTCTCAACCACTGAATTATTAATTACAATGTACCATAGACTAATAAAAAAATTTCATCCACTGCTCTATAGATGCAAGTGGAGAATCCATAAAGCATGCATCTCTTTTTGCTTCACCCAATATATTCCCAGCTTTTGATCCTGTAGTAATATTTTGTTCATAAAAGTATTGATTATTATGGTAATGCAACGCTTATTACCATTTGGGTTGGATACATGAATGATTTTTAATGAGTTCAACATAAAATCTCGTGTGAAAGTTTGATTAATGAAAAAGTTACAGTATAATTAGTATCCGAAAGATCAACTCGCTAATAATTAATTAAAATCTGATCCCTATTTACGAGAGAATGAAAGAAAACAACCAAAATATGCACACAAATTATAATCGTGTTTTGCTCAATGTCAGAGGTACATCCACTTCACCGCAGTGAGTTTTCATTACAAAATAATCTCGACGTCTCTCGAACAAAAAACCAGCTTCCTTTGTATAAGAAATATTAAATGCAGTTCAACACAAGTTTGTTTTGCATAATAAGATTTAATTACTCCCTTCGTTCCATAAATATACGATTGCTTCTATTTTCACACAAATAAAGAGAAATGTAATTAGTATAGTTGGAACAATATATTTTACTTACATCTCTCCTAATATACTCCTGCGTTAATAATTGTTTAAGTATTAATAGTTCGTATGTATTGATAACAAGACAAAAGACATACTAGAAAACTAATAAATAACTATACTCTCTACAAGAAAAGTTACTTATAATTTGAGACATATGGGAATGAAAATCAAGTTTATCTATATGGGACGAAATGAATAGCTTCGTTCTACTAACTATAGATTTTAACTCTTGTTTCATTGAATATGTCAACAAGAAATCATTTGAAATTCATAATTTGATAATACTGTATCTTCACATGATAAAGAAAGAAGAAGATAATATTTTCTACAAATCTGTTGGGCTCTGTATCTTCACATGATAAAGAAAGGAGAAGATAATCTTTTCTTCAAATCTGTTGAGCTCGATATCCGTTGAACAGATTCGCATGTCATTGCAAAACAATAATCCTCCGGTCCAATAAGAATATAAATAGAATAGGTTATGGATTCTTTGATCGATCTTGATTATGACAAATTGTTCCATATCATAATTATTAATCCCATTCTTATTCCTTGTTTGGAGGAACCAATCTCGATTTTTAGAAACCTCAACCTTGTGGGCTTTTGCTATATAAGGAGGTGTTGCACCATTCTTTTTATACAAGAAACTTCTCCATCTCGCTCCAGTCCTATGTTTTCATATTTAATCCGAGGAGTAGACATGGCGTGATATTGCTTTTGGCTCAGCACTTTCTGTTGAATTTGCATGAACAGTTGGGCGATGAGCCGAATCAATATCACTCTTGTATGCTTCTTTGCATCAATCAGCAAGCCTCAGGTTATGTAAACAGTTTCACTCTCTCTGATATTTTCGATATTTTCAATGGTTTCAGACTACAGAAAACTGTGTAGATCCATAATTTCTTGAAAAGGGATGAATAGCGATTGTAAGTAGAATCAGTAGTTCGGTTCCTGACTCCGGCTCGGTAAACATTCCTTTATCAAGTACGCTCATAAATCAGGCACTTCGTTTTCTGTCATTTCGTTTTAATTCCTATAATCTTCATAATTCATTTCTTCAATGAATACAGATTACTGACGCATTTCAAGCATCACGAACCATCATGAAGAAGTTATTTTCAGATTCAACAAATTTTTAATATTCCCATGTTAAAGACGCTTTTCTTTTCTGAATTCTTTGGTTACAAAGTTGTAGCTGATGGAGGCGGCTTTGATCCGTTCATAGCATAAACTGGTTACAAGATGAGACTTGAGATGGAGACGCAAAGCCAGAAGAAAAGAACAAGAAATATAACAGTTATGGAGAATTAAGGAAGTGCTTCCAACCTTACAAAAAGTTTAAGCTTTTAGACGATGTTGCTCCGAGAAGAGGACTCGAGTTCAAGAAATCGTATTTGTCGGGCCTTTGTGAAACTGCAACTGACGTTATTTTGGAGTCGTAATTAATTTAGTATCTGACCCTCTTTAAAATTGCTGGTTCAACATGATACCAAAGCTGAAATAAACCATTCTTGCTCCATAGTTTCTGTCATTTTGTGCGGAAGACTTTTAGAATCATAAATCAAAAATATCCCACAGATATTGAGTGAAAATGAAAGCATTACCAAAGAAATTGTCTTGGAGAAGGAACATATTGGCCCGGTGGCATTCTATATATACGATACGGATGGCCAAAACCGAGTAAAACTAAAAATACACTTCCCTACCATCTTGAATACGTTGTACTAACTCCGTTTCAAATTTACAGTACCGTATGACGTAAATTCAGAGCTTCTTTTTCTACTTTTTATTCATATATTATTCAAAAAATCATTGTTACAAAGTCCATTCTCCGTTGGGCTATGATGAAGGAAAGAAATGCTGAGGCTGAGCCATCGAATGTTCCTTAATCCCAGTGGTTTGGACTACAAAACCAATTTTGGAGGTCCTTGACGACCCCTTTTTGTAGCCATAATCTGCCATCTCAATGGCATATAGTCTCAGATGAATTCAATTTGATAGTGTTCAAAAAAATTACAAAAAAGTTTGTCGGCCATGGAGCAATGAAGAAGTAGGCTCGAATTTTTTTTGTCTGTGATTATGTAAGATGGAACATATTTGCATCTTATGTGCAGGCCTTTGCTCTTAGGATTATCAGTGTTCTTTGTAATTTTGAATGCTACTTCATTTCCCTAATCTATGGATTGCTTGCCTCAAGTATCCATAGTACCCTAGTTTTGTTTTCGATATTTTTATCATATAATAGTGGTATTGATTATTATGGTAATGCAACGCTTATTACCATTTGGGTTGGATACATGAATGATTTTTAATGAGTTCAACATAAAATCTCGTGTGAAAGTTTGATTAATGAAAAAGTTACAGTATAATTAGTATCCGAAAGATCAACTCGCTAATAATTAATTAAAATCTGATCCCTATTTACGAGAGAATGAAAGAAAACAACCAAAATATGCACACAAATTATAATCGTGTTTTGCTCAATGTCAGAGGTACATCCACTTCACCGCAGTGAGTTTTCATTACAAAATAATCTCGACGTCTCTCGAACAAAAAACCAGCTTCCTTTGTATAAGAAATATTAAATGCAGTTCAACACAAGTTTGTTTTGCATAATAAGATTTAATTACTCCCTTCGTTCCATAAATATACGATTGCTTCTATTTTCACACAAATAAAGAGAAATGTAATTAGTATAGTTGGAACAATATATTTTACTTACATCTCTCCTAATATACTCCTGCGTTAATAATTGTTTAAGTATTAATAGTTCGTATGTATTGATAACAAGACAAAAGACATACTAGAAAACTAATAAATAACTATACTCTCTACAAGAAAAGTTACTTATAATTTGAGACATATGGGAATGAAAATCAAGTTTATCTATATGGGACGAAATGAATAGCTTCGTTCTACTAACTATAGATTTTAACTCTTGTTTCATTGAATATGTCAACAAGAAATCATTTGAAATTCATAATTTGATAATACTGTATCTTCACATGATAAAGAAAGAAGAAGATAATATTTTCTACAAATCTGTTGGGCTCTGTATCTTCACATGATAAAGAAAGGAGAAGATAATCTTTTCTTCAAATCTGTTGAGCTCGATATCCGTTGAACAGATTCGCATGTCATTGCAAAACAATAATCCTCCGGTCCAATAAGAATATAAATAGAATAGGTTATGGATTCTTTGATCGATCTTGATTATGACAAATTGTTCCATATCATAATTATTAATCCCATTCTTATTCCTTGTTTGGAGGAACCAATCTCGATTTTTAGAAACCTCAACCTTGTGGGCTTTTGCTATATAAGGAGGTGTTGCACCATTCTTTTTATACAAGAAACTTCTCCATCTCGCTCCAGTCCTATGTTTTCATATTTAATCCGAGGAGTAGACATGGCGTGATATTGCTTTTGGCTCAGCACTTTCTGTTGAATTTGCATGAACAGTTGGGCGATGAGCCGAATCAATATCACTCTTGTATGCTTCTTTGCATCAATCAGCAAGCCTCAGGTTATGTAAACAGTTTCACTCTCTCTGATATTTTCGATATTTTCAATGGTTTCAGACTACAGAAAACTGTGTAGATCCATAATTTCTTGAAAAGGGATGAATAGCGATTGTAAGTAGAATCAGTAGTTCGGTTCCTGACTCCGGCTCGGTAAACATTCCTTTATCAAGTACGCTCATAAATCAGGCACTTCGTTTTCTGTCATTTCGTTTTAATTCCTATAATCTTCATAATTCATTTCTTCAATGAATACAGATTACTGACGCATTTCAAGCATCACGAACCATCATGAAGAAGTTATTTTCAGATTCAACAAATTTTTAATATTCCCATGTTAAAGACGCTTTTCTTTTCTGAATTCTTTGGTTACAAAGTTGTAGCTGATGGAGGCGGCTTTGATCCGTTCATAGCATAAACTGGTTACAAGATGAGACTTGAGATGGAGACGCAAAGCCAGAAGAAAAGAACAAGAAATATAACAGTTATGGAGAATTAAGGAAGTGCTTCCAACCTTACAAAAAGTTTAAGCTTTTAGACGATGTTGCTCCGAGAAGAGGACTCGAGTTCAAGAAATCGTATTTGTCGGGCCTTTGTGAAACTGCAACTGACGTTATTTTGGAGTCGTAATTAATTTAGTATCTGACCCTCTTTAAAATTGCTGGTTCAACATGATACCAAAGCTGAAATAAACCATTCTTGCTCCATAGTTTCTGTCATTTTGTGCGGAAGACTTTTAGAATCATAAATCAAAAATATCCCACAGATATTGAGTGAAAATGAAAGCATTACCAAAGAAATTGTCTTGGAGAAGGAACATATTGGCCCGGTGGCATTCTATATATACGATACGGATGGCCAAAACCGAGTAAAACTAAAAATACACTTCCCTACCATCTTGAATACGTTGTACTAACTCCGTTTCAAATTTACAGTACCGTATGACGTAAATTCAGAGCTTCTTTTTCTACTTTTTATTCATATATTATTCAAAAAATCATTGTTACAAAGTCCATTCTCCGTTGGGCTATGATGAAGGAAAGAAATGCTGAGGCTGAGCCATCGAATGTTCCTTAATCCCAGTGGTTTGGACTACAAAACCAATTTTGGAGGTCCTTGACGACCCCTTTTTGTAGCCATAATCTGCCATCTCAATGGCATATAGTCTCAGATGAATTCAATTTGATAGTGTTCAAAAAAATTACAAAAAAGTTTGTCGGCCATGGAGCAATGAAGAAGTAGTCTCGAATTTTTTTTGTCTGTGATTATGTAAGATGGAACATATTTGCATCTTATGTGCAGGCCTTTGCTCTTAGGATTATCAGTGTTCTTTGTAATTTTGAATGCTACTTCATTTCCCTAATCTATGGATTGCTTGCCTCAAGTATCCATAGTACCCTAGTTTTGTTTTCGATATTTTTATCATATAATAGTGAAATGTCATCATACAATTTTCAGTTCCTACCTTTTGTAATCACTTTTTAAACTTGATTCTGTGTTTGAGTTGCTGTGTATTTGTACGAAAGCATCCTCTAATGGATCGATGGATAAATCTCCTTATTAGGACTATCAGTATTTAATACGACACACCTTTCAGACACTCCATGACATGTGTTTGGCAAGTCATTTGCTATGTTATACTTTTTATATATTTTAAAAATACGATTAATGTTATTTTTGTTTTGTAATATAGTGCTTGTTTGGTAAGGATTTTAATAATTAATTTTTTGACCATTAGAGATAAAGTGAATCCTCCATATGAGAGAAGGATTCAAAAATGACGACTGTAATAGTGAAATAACGGTAAAAAAATTGATTTTGATTGACTTAAAATATGTACCAAACAAGCACATAATTTTTTTTTGACACGCTTATCAATTATCAGGGATTGTCTTTGGACTAGTGTTCTACATGGCATGTCTATTCTCGATTAAAAAGTTGAAAATTAAAATATAATGTATAAAATTAAATTTGTAAAGAATTTAAATAGATGAGTATTGACATGTTAAATCTTTTACTTTTTAAAAGAATTCACTTGTCCTTGTCTTTGTTTCGTGGGTCCCCTCAAGCGTATGGCCTAAGCAAGCAATAAAATGAAAAGGATTGACGTAAATTTGATAAAATAGCTATATCGAATGGATTTGATATGGGAATTTGATTATCGTATTTATAGCAAATTTGGCTGTGTGAAAAAAGTTGATTTCATCTTGTATAATGTTGGTGCCTATAACAAGTAACAGTACCGAAAATTCATTTGTAATTATCTTATATAAAATTTCATGTCTGATCTCCATCTATTTAAAATTCAATTTTTTTAAATTTATTTTCAAATCATAAATATTATGAAACTCACAGTACCACACATTTTATTAATTTTTATCAAAATTTATTAAAAATTTGACTTTTAAGCTAAACTAAACATATAATTAGTGTGAGTGAGCTGTGCAAGTTCAACCTCATCCTTTGCCTTGGGAGTGGTTAGGAACATAACGAAACCTATGCTCCCCTGTAAACAACTCTCTCCATCCCATTTACATATACTTGTTTTGTTTTTTTTACACGAATTAAAAAATCTTATTTATTGTTATTGAAAAAGCAATTTTTGTCAAAAACTTTCTTAGTCTACCATTATTTATATTTGTAAAATTACAAAATTAAGAGGAAGAATTGATTATAACTAGGCAAATTAAAAAGGGTAAATTAGTAAATGAACAAAATAAAACACTATCAATAAAGAAACATGACCATAAAATTTGGATAAGAAAATAAGGAAAGTTGGCTTATATAAATAGTATGGAGGGAATATTATGTTAGGATTAATTTATGTTGACAAAAGAAAAATGACAGAGATGTTAACAAATGTGTATGTGGTAGTAAATGAGAGGATGAAAAAGTTGAATGTGTTTTAAACTTGAATAATTTTATTTGTACACCAAAAAATGTACCGAATTGTGTACCCCATCTCACATGCACGTGGAACTTGCGTGAATAAAAAATCACAAAATGTGGGCTTAACTGAATTTGATAGCCTTTAATATAATACACGATAATTTATACATAAAAATTCCTCACAATCTCCTACTTGGGTTATATGTGTCACCTTATAATTGTGCACTAAACATAACCTTATGAGTACTCAAAATTTTGCTATCACTACCAAATGTATCCCAAACAATTTGGTCCCTCAATCATATCAACATAGGATCACAGCGATTTTTGCTACTTTCATTGTAACTGGACTCATCAATGGTTACGTATATCAATATAACTGAATGACATGGATTAAGCATGAAAATTACATGTGATGTGATCTATAACATGCCTATTTCCAAGTTCCAACTAGTCTACCTTAATAACTAGTGAGATCATTTTAAACAAGTTCAAAGATAATGAACCAAATAAACCTTATAACTGAAAATAACTTTAACCATAAACGATATCCAAAATAACAGTACATGTATCCAATATGAAAAGTAAAAATATAAACTCCCACTGAAACTAAATATTTTCAAGGTACATTACACCCATATCTCACAGTGTGCTCACGAAAGACTTTGAGAATCAATCCCTTAGTAAGCAGATCTGCAATCATGGAGTTTATTTCAATATGCTCTATTGACATTTGTCCACTCTGAACTCTTTCTTTAATAGACAGGAACTTGATCTCTATATGTTTTGACTTCATCAATCTCCTGTTGTTATTAG